TGTGTGTGTGTGTGTGTGTGTGTGTGTGTGTGTGTGTGTGTGTGTGTGTGTGTGTGTGTGTGTTGAGGTGCACAAGCGTGTGCGCAGCGTTGATAAATGACTCTGTACTGATGTGGAAATCGGAGGTCAAGGGTCAAAGCCTTGGTGAGGAGCTGCTTTGGAGCTAGTGGGGCCAATCAGATAAATGAGGGAACTTCTCTCTTTCTGCTGTCATAAATTTATAAATATACGAATGACTGGATGGTCTAAAAGMAAAGAGAGAGAAGGAAAAGGATTTTGATTTCTTTTGATAAATACTGAAAGATGGGGGGGGGGGAGTCAGCCGTAATTTGAATGGGTATGAGAAGATACAAGGCTGGATCATGAGAGAAGACATGGTGGATCTCTGTCCTCCTGCAAGTTCAAGGCTASTGAGACATTTATGTCCATTATTTTTTTACAAAACAAATCCACAAAATAGTCTAATTGGCCTTCCGTTCATAAATATCTAGTAACATATACAGTAACTTTGGGCTTTTAGAAATTAGTGATGCAAAACCAAAAGAGCTGAAATGAGCCGCATTGACWAGGAGAACTACACATAAATGGACATTTCATAGATTAATTTACAAAATATGACCAAATAACTCAGTTTAGCTGTTTCCTCTTAGAGGTTAATCAGTTCTTGTYCATCTTCATTGATCTTTTTTCTCTTTAATCGATCTGTTTATTGTTGTTTAGGCTTTTAAATCCCTCACACACTGGATGTCATCATTACAACACATTCTTTAGTCCCAAAGCGTACATACACCTTTTCACACGCTGACTGTTCCAGCTCTGTTATCGCCTCCCTTGATGGCACAAAGTCACATCAGTGGCGGCATTTTCAATTCCCCGTGCTGCCTCCAATTGTTCAGAAATCACACGAGACAACCAAGGGGTGTCTGAGTTTCAGCTCGGTGTGTTTTGTAAAAGTGCCTACAGAGTTTGAGATCATGGACTATGTTATTTACTGAATCTAGAACCAGAACCCAGAAGTTAAAGTTGAAACAGGACCAGCTTGTAAACAAACAGAACTTAACCCTTGTAATAATGAAAAATGCACCTCAAATAAGGTTTATCGGGAGATGACTTTTGTTAAATCATATACTTCTTACCTTGCWGACGCATGTTGAAATATTCATTTTTCTAACACATTTAGCWGTWGTTAGTCAGGGGCAGTTCTAGGGGCGGGGCCACAGGGGCATTGGCCCCTRCTGAAATCTGATTGGACCCCTGAAGTGCCYCTGTCCTGTCCCTCACCTGYCCTTTGCCTGAGAGCAATGATGGTGGGTGMAGTTCCATGCCCAAACACTAGAGGCACTAATGAGTCAAACAGTAAAGTCCAGCATGAATTAATCTGACAGAAGTCTTCTTCTCTTTTTAAAAGACTTGAACAATTTTGCAAAAAATACCTTTCAGCTGGCAAACAATGGCTTCATTTTCTCTCATGCTTTCAGAATATTTTATCCATGTACAGTAAAAATGTGTGTAACATAGATAAGGAGAATTTAAGCTTTTTTAATGACATTACATTACRTTACAATTGTTGGAACATACGTATGTGACYGGTTAAATTWATAAACCTTACTGTCRTGGCATGATTTACCAAGATGCAGAAACACGTTGGAATAAATGCACAGAAAGTCTGCGTGTATGGTCGTCAAATAATTTAATTCTGAGCAACAACACAGCAGACAGTCAATCAGGAAATCTGCTGAGTTGTGACTGCCGCGTCAGCATTGCGCAGCCAATGATATMACATCATGTGACAGTRWACAACCAATCACAATTCAACAACTGTAAACACCCAACCAATAACAGGGCTCTCAGCCCAGGAGGTAGGCCATGCATTGCTGGAGTCTTGAKGTYTGGGGCAAACAGATTAAAACAGCCGAAACTGGTTATRATAAGATATGATTACTGGACAGTGTCAAGGTAGAACAGATATACATAATTAATCCATTASACTTACCAAAACTGAGGATTTATGTGCAAGGGTGTTGAACAAAGACTTGGCCCCTCTATGAATATTGTGGACCTTTGATGGYCCCTTACTCAGAAAAATGCTAGATCCGCCACTGCAGTTAGTTCAAAACGAAAAGTCACGTTCAACATAATATAGGGTGATATTGGCAAATAAATCAATCATGATTACTTGTGGCATTTAGACAATARCAATTAATAYGAAGATYAATAGATGACAACTGAATTTGTGAGTTTTTGTCTAAATCAGTCACYCTGTGTTCTAAGAGAAGTCATCGGTCATTTCTTTATTTTAACAAGCCATCATCCCAAATGAGACAACTGGGTGTCTCCAGCACTGGTGAGAGTATTGAACTGTACCACCCTCTGCATCACATTTGGTCAAAAAGCTGGTCTGATTATCCTATAGCCGGAGGCACATTRTATATTTTCTGATCTGCAGTAAAATTAAAATAACTAATTTTAAGTTGGTAATAAAATTATTAATCCTTAATCTGACCAGATTCGTGACATATCTTCTCTCCAAATTGACAAAACTGGTTTCTCAAACAATGTCATTTGCCAATTAACCAATTGAAAGCATAAATATTTCCCTTGGGAAAATACCTGGTTTCTTCTTCAAAGTTAGTAAGTCCTTAAATTTCTTTTAAAAATGTTTGTGTTATTTTATGTTGATTCGTTGAAACTATGTTGTAAAAAGTTAGCAAAAGAAAATTAAGTTTCTTCTCTTTTGAGTGAAAAAACTTTTATTAGATGCTTAAATGTTATCACAATTACAAATTCATACTTCAAGGTAAATGAGTGTGATACATAAAGGCCAATATTARTGATCAGTAAACCTGATCTGGTGCCCCTCACAGAGAAAAAGTTAGAGTGTAAGACATTATTTTAACCTAAAGCGTATAAGGTAATTGCAAAATGGCAAATATTAGTTGTTGACAGTTTTTCTGGGAATTAATYGCACATGATACAGTTTTGGCCAACCCTGGTACCACAATGATTCTGAATAAGGGAGTAGACTGGACCTGAAGATACGTCCCCAATGTGCACAGACAAATTTCAGCTCCAAACTCCAGAGAAGGCAGGACACTCGGTCTATAATATATGCCAACCTTCTCTCCCCTCTACCTGATGTGCTGTTTAATTCAGATGTAAGGAGTTGAAAAAAAGACCATTTATTTCAAAATAAAATGGCAACAATAGTAATTACGCAGTTTTGGTCATTCTGGAGCTGCATGAATCAGCTGCAGCAAGATGAGACTAAAACAATAAACATGTTTCTTGGCCTRTTAGCTGTGTTTGTCTTCACAAAACCAGCACGAATGATTGAAGACACTGTTAAAGTGAAGGTTAGAGAAGGTTAGAGTACATTTTGTAAAAATGGGGGCGAACCAGTGCTTGTTCTGTCCTGGGCCTGTCGGGGAGCTCTTGGACGTGGGTCCATTTGTTGCTAATTGTGTACAGTGTTGTATAAAGTACCACAAAGTGATACTTGAGTAAAAGTACAAGTATCTTACCAAAAAAATACTTTGGTAAAAGTTAAAGTCTTCTTTAGGAATATTACTGCAGTAAAAGTCTTAAAGTATCAGATATTTTTTGTACATAAATATTAAAAGGAAAAGTATTGATTTAAAATGAGCAGGTAGATTTTCTGTAATGACATTTATTAGGAGGTGACCTCCCCCAAAAAATGCAGAAATGACTGTTGTATTAAAATAATTAGTTTATGTTAAATTTAGGATGCACTAGTCCAGCTGTTTCAGTTTATTTACGTATGTCAAGGCTGCACAAACATTTTCCCCAAACTGAAAATCTACCTGAGGGCTGCGGCCAAATAAAACAATATAATTCATGAAATACAAATACTTCTTAAGTACAGTCCTTTTATTTTAATGATTTTGTTCTGCTGGAGTGTGACATGATTTGTTTGTGTACAAACTAATACAGTATCAGAATTTTATATATTTATACTTCTCATTCAACCACAGTTAAATTCACTCTTTCTAGGAGGCACAATTTATATGGATGGTATTTATTTTTTACAATAAGCTGCTGGGATGAATACAAGCAAAAATGAAATAAAAGTAACAATTTTCTACTTCTTACCTTTTTAAAAAAATGTAAGGAGTAAAAAGTACAGATAAATGTGTGAAAATGTAAGAAGTAGAAGTAAAATGTAGGCTGAAAAATAATTCCTCGAGTAAAGTACAGATACCCAAAAATTCTACTTAAGTACAGTAACAAAGTATTTGTACTTAGTTACTTTACAACTCTGATTGTGTCACTCACTCCTCTCTGTACGTCTGTGTGATCTCAGTGGTCAGGAGGTATCCAGTGTTCTTGGGCCGAGCTCATCGTCTGGCTCAGAGACAGGAGCTGCACATCCAGACGGTCCTCCAAGTCAACCGCACACTTTACATAGGAGCCAGGTAACCAACAGCAACCGCCTCCAGCCGCGTGTCACTGACGTGTTCGCATGAATCTGTGCTGGCTGTCGTTTGGTGCCACCGCTTCCATCKGCTGTCACTCTTCAAGGGACATTTACAGTTCGTCTGAGCCATGATTTATTCAGTGYTGCTTTTAAATGTCAAGTGAAAGCGTTGTGCGCTCACATCAATCGTTGAAAAATGGGAATTGCYCGTTTTCACAAATATGGGAGCTATAGGTTGAAACAATCCAATCACTCGAAAGTGCTCAGTTTTCTACTTTGCAAATAATATTAAACATCTTTTTCAGTTTAAGGGAGCAGCTTATACAGACCTAACSAGTTTTTAAAAGTTTCACAGCCAGTTCAGGCTAGACGTCCCCTACAGCTGTTATCATTAGACCTGTTTTTAGGTGTCAAACTCAAGGCCTGTGGGCCGCAGACAGCTCGTTCTACAGTTTCATACAACCTGTGAGACTGTATTTTAGATGTTTTAAACTGGCTCACTAATTTGTGGCAGATTGATTCTATATGGTTCCCCATCAGCCCTTTTAGTGCAGTGTCTGTGATGTCTGTTAGCTGCCCAGAAGAGTCCTGCCCAATATTGGCTATCATGTGACTTTTCTTGGTTGGTGAGAGCGGCCATATTGTTCTGAGTGAGGACAAGCTGTTAAAGCTGAATGTGGTCACCACGATATATTGGGTTTAGTTTAGCACATCACTGAAACTCTGTTTGTAAATGACAACCATTATTTAGTTTGATAGAAATGCTTGTAAGTACATTTGATCATTTTAGGCAAAAACATGTTGCCAAACGTACACACATCTGCAATGAATGAAGTTAGCTAGAACATGATCAACTAATATATAGAATTTTATGCCCAAATTAGCCAAGATAAATTGTTTACATTGACAGCCCTACCTTTCCAATGTGGTGATTGTACCACAGTGGTCATTCTTCTGACGCCTCTAGCCAACATACCGCATTGGTCCTGCCCTTCTGTTTCTACTTATGCCCCGCCCACTCTCACCTGTTCCCATTTGTTTCTTCACCAGTTGTTGATCATTGTGTTCATCAGTCTTGCCCTTTTTATTCCTTGTCTCTCTCTGTTGGTTCCTCAGTTCATCATTGTGCATGTTACATCACATCACTGAGTTACCTGTTTCCAGTTTCTCCTTGTAGAGCTTTTGGTTGCCTCGTCAGCATTTTTATTTTGATAAATTAGTTACCTTTTGAAACTCCTCCTGGGTTCCACAACCATGAAAATATCATCCTGCATTTAGCCAGCTTTGAAGCCAACAAAGTAAAGTTTGAATTTCTCAGTAATCTGTTTGATGTCGATTTGRAAGTGGGACCAATCAGACTCTTGATGATGAAGAGGTATTTGGCTCGAGCTAAAATACATCAGAGCTACTTGTTCTGTTTTGTTGTTGTTTTTGTTTTTGTCATGTTAAAGTAGAACATAAGTAGCTGTATGTTTCGATTTTTTGTATTTTTTAGATGATTTGATGAACTGTGATCAAATTTATTACCAAAAATTAAAAAATTCTGAGAGAGTAAAGCATGGTAARCCAAGAGGACTGATGTTTTTTTAATCTATTTTTCCTGATAATACATTAGGTAATTTTGTTCTAATAATCTAAGCTTTACATAAAGTATCTTGGGGAAACTGTAACTAATTCATTGCAGTCAGGTTATATAGTTATTCTATATCCATTGAAGAAATCATCAGGCGTAGATACTTGGTCCATCTTTATTAATATTGGCCCCAAGGTGGGTTACAAAGCACCAGGTTGGTGGTCCCAAGATGATCTCCAGAAACATAATCAAGCTAAACAATATTTTTTGTGGCATATTTTCACTGTAAATAACAAGAAATATTAATCAAAAATATGGAGGAGGAAAACTAGTTTAATATATTTGTGTTGTGTTTCATTGGGTTTTCGGGGACCAGAAGCTAAAAAGTTTGGGAGACTCTGATTTATGAAAATTATTTTGTTTACAGCTCATCATGATCACTTCCTTTGCATTGATATTAGAAGTGTATGTATTTGTAAGAAAAACTGCAAATAGGAATAGTTCATCCCTTTAAAGATAATATATAAAGCAGCTTGAACCATGCTCTGTTTGCTGTTCTATTAGCAGCCTTTTGCACATTTTCCAAACTTCTTYTGAGGTAAAAGWAGTAATCACAGAAGCAAGCGATGTATTTATTTTTGAAAATCCTGGCTACAGAGATAAACTTGACAGCGTTCATTTGGCTCGTGCACTAATGAAACCCCTGCTAAATAATCGGCTGCATAAAACATCCCGATCATTCTACTAATCAGAAGCCATTTTAACGATATGTCTTCAGGACATTTAATCAGAATAATGTCTGTCTGTGACTCATAGCAAACAAGCAGATGGCAGTGTGACATAAATGGTGTTTTGATCATTTTTTTAATGGCAGCCACATTCAAGGATGAAGAAAACCACTGTTTGAAAAAAAAAAAAACAGCAACACACAAACCATACGCTGACATTTACACTCCAGCCGCTTCATTAGGTAAAACCAGCAGAATTGTTTTTTAAAGCAAATACTAATGAGGCAATTAGATAACAGAAACTCTGTGATTGTAGACAAACTGTGCAAAATTCTGGAGTCATTCTTCGTTTTCTTTTTATTATTTTTWCAGGGAGCTAAAGTACGGAGCCCGCGAGGGGACATGGGGGATKTTTTTCTTTTGCGTTCCCACGCAAAACCTTTTGCRTTCCCTTGCAAAAGTCACTTATCACGGTTTTGCCTGTCGATTTATTAACAAATTCACATGCTCACCATTAGCAAGATAGCCTACTACTTTAATTCAACTTTAAAAATGAATATATCACATGGCCACACATGGAAGTATGTCATATATCGATATTTTAACACAGTGCAGCCACGCAACATCAAAGCCAAGTTCACAAACTTGTGGCGACACATCCTGTTTTGGTAACCAGATATTTCAAAATAAAAGTCTGATTTAATTCAGTTCATACAAAACAAACTTTAGCGTGGAAATGCAAATGTTTGCGCAGTAACACAATAGTATTGTGTGGGAACGCAAAAGAAAAACAAATCCCCCATGTCCCCTCGCAGGCTACATACTGAAGCTGCTAAAGTCTGAAAAAAAATGAAAAAGGCATTTGGAAACTTAGAAAAATAATTGACGATAATCCCTTTGGATGATGACATGAAAGTCTGGTTTTTTTGGAAACAAATGGTGGTTGAAAACTTCTGCACAGGAATAGTTAGCTCTTTCTTACTGGTGTTAGATTATTATCAGCAGCTCGAAATGTGTTTCATGTTGAACTTTATGTTCAAGCTACAGTTATTGAACTGGCGGCCCATGGGCCACATCTGCCCTGTGGGTGGCATCAGTCCGGCCAACCAATGAGTTTTTTTTAAAAATGATTGTTTTTTTTTTTGTTTATTATAAAAAATAATTTGAATCAATTTTACATTTTAAATTTATGATTCAATACAGCAATTTTAACAAATTTAAAAGTTAAAAGATAATACCTATTTTTACATAATGCAGTGTTTCCCGTCATCATCGGGCAACGCCCCCTGTAACAGGATATCCAGCCCATGGACTTTTGGCTTTGAGTAATTTATTTGAATATCCCTGATTTAATCAAACTAAACATTATAAAGAGACTTTTCATGACTCGTGCTCTTGTTTTGTCCTAAACGGTAACRTTACTGAGAAATTGTTGTGTTTTGTAGAGATGACTTATACAGAGTGGAGCTGGACAACATGGTGGGAGAGGAGATGTTTTACAGCAAGGTATGACCCACTTTTGTTGCAAACACGCACTAATAAATAAAAAGGCGTAGACACGTGGAACAACTGCAGCAACGTCGGCTTTGTTTATGCATTTCAGAAACGGACCTGGGAGTCCAACAAGAACGATATCCGAGTGTGTCGGATGAAGGGCAAACACGAGGTAAAACACAAAACGTGCAAAGACGCACTCTGCATCGCAGACACAGAAACACAAACAACAGCTGTTGCAGAGAACATTTTTCCGCAGCTGCACCTGCATGCAGAGCTTACACCAATTTGATCCTGTTGATCCACAATCAGCAAATCATCTAATCAAGCTAATGCAGTCAAATGTTACTGGAAAAGCATTTTGTTTTGCATACCTGAGGTTTGTCATTTTTTTAATGTGGAAATAATTATAAAGTTGGAAAGTGGTTTAATTATATAAAGCCAAAGTTGAGAAAGTTGTATTATCAGGTAGAAAAAATAAATGCAGGTACAGCACAAAAAGCACAAAAGGATAAAATGCAATTTGAGTGGGACTTTTGGRAAAGAAAAGAAAAAAAGTTGAATTGAAATTTTATAGAGCCATACTTGAGAAGAGTTTAGTGACATGGCCTCAGGGAGGGAAGAGTTATTGAAAACAGGTGAGGAAGAAAGGTGACGGTGAGATGTGTGGAGGGAAAATAGAAGAGAGGAGAGGAGGGGAGGGCATTCAATTGGTGGTGGGAACACAGATGAAAGAGGAGACGGTGTAGGAGGGAATAAAAGAAGAATTTAAGGTTGTGATAAAACTGGAACAAAGACAAGAGGAGAAGGACCGGCTGAAGGTGGCTACTGAAGACAGAAGAGAACCGAGTTAGATAACTCTGCTCATTTTAAAGCTCAGAGTGAACTGCATGGATTTAAAATCTCCCTAATCATCTGGGTTATATTACAGACAGTGGATACTTATTTGTATTGTATAGGAAAGGTGGCATCTTCTCATATATCTTATGTAAAAAGACTTTTAAACATTTTAAATACTGTATTTCAAAATGATATAATATCATGCAATCCTTCAGGATTGATGCGGAGATGCAGAAATGATGCAAACTTCTAAATGTTGCAGCCAGGAGGATTTAATTCAGCCTGTCAGAATATAACAAGCTTAAAACAGCTATTAAATTAGAAAGCTTTTAAGTTGAGTGTTAAAACACATTTTCATATGTTTAAAGATTTACAGATTGTAAATTAGTTTAAATAAGAAAACCCAAATGCACAAAATCAACAGTCAGGCAGGATGACTAAGGAAGAAGGAAGATTAAATA